AATTGGCCAGGCGCAGTGGCTCACACCTGTAATCCAAGCACTTTGGAAGCCAAGGTGGGTGGATCACCTGAGGTCGGGAGTTCAAGACCAGCCTGACCAACATGGTAAAACCCCATCTTAAAAAAAAAAAAAAAAAAAAAATTAGCTGGGCATGATGGCGTGCACCTGTAATCCCAGCTACTTGGGAGGCTGATACAGGAGGATCACCTGAGCCCCTGAGCCCAGGAGGTCAGGGCTACAGTTAGCCATGATTGCATCACTTCACTTCAGCCTGGGTGACACAGTGAGACCCTGTCTCAAATAAAATAGAGACAGGGTCTCTGTGTGTCACCCAGGCTGGTCTCAAATTCCTGAGCTCAATTGATCTTCTGGCCTCAGCATCCCAAAGTGCTGTGATTACAGGCGTGAGCCACTCCACCCAGCCTAAATATTTCTGAAATGACCACATACTGCAAGAGATCAACAACTCTGTTTAACTTTTCCAGTAAAGTGAGGGAGGCATGGTTCTGCCGCAACTTCTGCAACAGCAGGGAAGCACCACTGCTATTGCCTTCCTGGATGTCTGTGTGAAACTGTTAGGAACTTTACAGTGAGTGCAAGAAACCCTCTTCTTCATGCATCCATACATCAAATGTTACTGAGTGCTCATGCTGCATGATGCGCCATTTTGGGCATTGGCAAGATACAGTGTCAACAGACACTATCCAGGCCTTTTTGTGTGTACAGGGGGTGGTAGTAGAATATATGTATTTTTTTATTTTTTATTTTTTATTCTCTGCTTTAGGCTTTGTTTTACTGAGATATATATTTATATATGTTATATTATATATATATATATTTATTTATTTTTTTTGAGATAGAGTCTCACTCTGTCACCTAGGATGTAGTGCAGCGGCACAGTCTTGGCTCACTGCAAACTCCGCCTCCCAGGTTCAAGCAATTCTCCTGCCTCAGCCTCCCGAGTAGCCAGGACTACAGATGCGTGCCATCATGCCTGGCTAATTTTTGTAATTTCAGTAGAGACAGGATTTCACCCTGTTGGCCAGACTGATCTCTAACTCCTGACCTCGTGATCTACCCACCTTGGCCTCCCAAAGTGCTAGGATTACAGGCATGAGCCACTGCACCCAGCCAAAGTTTTTGTATTTTTAGTAGAGATGGGGTTTTACCATGTTGGCCGGGCTGGTCTCGAACACCTGACCTCAAGTGGTTTGCCTGTGTCGGCTTCCCAAAATGCTGGGATTACAGGCATGAGCCACTGCGCCCGGCCAAATTTTTGTGTTTTTAATAGAGATGGGGTTTCACCATGATGGCCAGGCTGGTCTTGAGCCCCTGACCTCAGGCTTCCCAAAATGCTGGGATTACAGGCATGAGCCACTATGCCCGGCCAAATTTTTGTGTTTTTAATAGAAATGGGTTTTCACCATGATGGCCAGGCTGGTCTTGAACCTCTGATCCACTCACCTCAGCCTCCCAAAGTGCTGGGATTACAAGCATGAGCCACCTCACTCAGCCAAAATAGCAAGATTATAAAGCATGAATATAGTGGATCACTGGAGCCTGGGAGGTGGAGGTTGCAGTCAGCCAAGCTCGAACCACTGCATTCCAGCCTGGGTGACAGACTGAGACTCTGTCTCAAAAAATAAAAATAAAAAGCATAAATAAGGCCAGGCATAGTGGCTCCTGTAATCCCAGCACTTTAAGAGTCTGAGGTGGGAAGATCATTTGAGCCTAGAAGTTCTAGACCAGCCTGAGGCAACATACTGAGACCCCTGTCTCTAAAAAAAAATAAAGCTAGGTAGGTGGTGTCACCAGCAGTCCCAGCTCCTCTGAAGCTGAGGGAGGAGGCTTGCTTGAGCCTGGGAGGTTGAGGTTGCAGTGAGCCTTGATTATGCCGCTTCACTTCAGCCTGAGTGGCAGAGCAAGACCCTGCCTCTAAAAATAAAAAAATTAAAATTAAAATAAAGAGGAGGCATAGGGTGGAGGGAAGCTCATCAGTGGGGCCACAAGCTGAGTAAAAAAAATTAAAATTAAAATTAAAAAATAAAGAGGAAGCAGAGACTTCAGCAAAGAAACTAGCCTAAGCCTGTTCTGCTGGAGGTCGCCTGGCGTGCGTTCGGTTCACAACCCAGGCTTTGGAATAGATGTGCCTGGGTTTGAATCCTGATTCTGCCACCTGCTGGTTGGATCAGTTCCCTGCTGCTGCTGTGGCAAATCACCTCTTCTGGAGGCGGGAATTCTGAAATGAAGGTGTCTTAGGCTGTTCCACCTGAAGGTTCTAGAGGAGCCTCCTCGCCTCTCCCAGCTTCTGGCAGCTCAAGGTTTCCCTTAGCTTTGAAACAACTTGGATGGAGGCAGGGGCCACTATTCTAAGGGAAGCAACTCAGGAATGGAAACCAAAGCCTGCATGTTCTCGCTTGTAAGTGAGCTAAGCCCTGGGTATGCAAAGGCAGACAGAGCCGGATGATGGACACAGCAGACTCAGGATAGTAAGTGGGGGCAGGATAGAAAACTACATATTGGACCCAGGTGCAGTGGCTCACGCCTGTAATCCCAGCACTTTGGGAGGCTGAGGCAGGTGGATCACTTGAGATCAAGAGTTCAAAACCAGCATGGCCAACATGGTGAAACCTGGTCTCTACTAAAAATACAAAAATTAGCTGGGCATGTGGTGGGTGCCTGTGATCCCAGCTACTCAGGAGGCTGAGGCGGGAGAATCTCTTGAACCCGGGAGGCAGAGGTTGCAGTGAGCTGAGATCACGCTACTGCACTCCAGCCTGGGTGACAGAGCAGATTCTGTCTAAAAAAAAAAAAAGAACAAAACAAAAGAAAAAAACAAAGGAAGAAAAACGTTAAAGATACCCACTCATTTGCATTGACACCCCGGTAGCCAAACTAAGCTGTAAGGAAGGTTGCGAAATGGAGTCTTGATTCTGGGCAGCTGAGTTCTAGCTAAAAGTTCTGTTCCTAAGCGTGAGAGGGAGACCTGACAGCAAGAGAGAAGTAGAAGCCTGTTTGCAGCTTTGCAGGAACTCGGGAAATGGAGGCTCTTCCCAAGCAGATCAGCTGCTGCTCCTATACAAGGGGAATTTAGTAATTGGAGAGAGGGTGGAATTCATGCAGGCAATTGGTTCTTTGTGGAGTTGTGGGGATGGGACGTAAGGTTTTCCCCTTACACTTGGGCACAGTGTGTGTGGCATGTGGTAAGTGTTCAGTTGATAGACTGGAATTCCCGCTGGGACCCTGTTACACATCAGAAGTGGTAAACATGCCTTAAACATCCAGTGAGCGACATCGTCCTCATGGCTTTGTGCTTTCCTTCCTTGGATCTAACTCCCCATGCAGGAAAGTTCCTTTGATACCACCTCTGAGGGGACAGCTTGTAACAAGTCCCACGTTCCTTCCCTTTTCATCCGGGCACCTGGAGCCCTTGAGCCTGAATCTCCTAACGCCCACGCCCACCTGCCTGCTGTCTACACAGCCCACTGTCCCGCCTCTGCACATGGCAGTGGTGGAGGTGGGAGGTGGGCATTCTATCCTCAAGGCTCCCCAGGATGACAGACAGGCCTGTGCTTCTGTTCTTAGACTCTCCAGGCTCAAGTCAAAAGACTGGAAATGAACAAGGTGAATAAAAGCACTATGGAGGAGGAGCTGAGAGAGGTGAGTGAGCAGAGGTTCCTCTGCCTTGCCTGCTCCCCCATCCTGAGCCCCGGGTCTCCCACCCAGGGAAACCGAGCCATCCAGGCAAAGCTCGCCAGAGAGCCTTCTAGAGCTTCCCTCTGCCTTTGTTCATATTGAAAACAGACGTTGACCAGGCTCAGTGGCTCACACCTATAATCAATCCCAGCATTTTGGGAGGCCAAGGTGGGTGGATCACCTGAGGTTAGGAGTTTGAGGCCAGCCTGGCCAACATGATGAAACTCCATCTCTACTAAAAATACAAAAAATTAGCCAGATACTTCAGGAGGCTAAGGCAGGAGAATCACTTGAACCTGGGAGGTGGAGGTTGCAATGAACCGAGATTGTGCCTTTACGCTCCAGCCTGGGCAACAAGAGCAAAACTTAATCTCAACAAAAGAAAGAAGGTAGGAAGGAAGGAAGGAAAGAGGGAGGGAAGGAAGGAAGGCAGGTAGGCAGGCAAGAGGGAGGGAGGGAAGGAAGGAAAGAGGGAGGGAGGGAAGGAAGAAAAGAAGGAAAGAAGGAAGGAAGGAAGGCAGACAGGTGTCACATCAACTCCCATTTTCAGCATCTGAGGATTATTAACACTCTGTTGTGTGAACCTAAAAATCACTCATCAGACCAGGTGCAGTGGCTCACGCCTACAATCCCAGCACTTTGGGAGGCTGAGGCAGGCAGATCACAATGTCAAGAGATCAAGACCATCCTGGCCAAAATGGTGAAACCCCAGCTCTACTAAAAATATGAAAATTAGCTGTGCGTGGTGGCACGCACCTATAATTGCAGCTACTAAGGAGGCTGAGGCAGGAGAATCGCTTGAACCTGGGAGGTGGAGGTTGCAGTGAGCAGAGATTGCACCACTGTACTCCAGCCTGGTCGACACAGCAAGATTCCATTTCAAAAAAAAAAAAAAAAAAAATCACACATCAGCTGTGCATGGGGTTGCTAATGCCTGTAATCCTAGCACTTTGGGAAGCCGAAGTGATAGGACCACTTGAGGCTAGGAGTTTGAGAACAGCCTGGGAAGTATAGAAACATCAGATCTCGCAGGGCACGGTGGTGCGTGCCTGTAGTTCCAGCTATTTGGGAGGCTGAGGCTAGAGGATCGCCTGAGTCCAGGAGTTCTGGGCTGTAGTGCACTATGCCACTGGGGTGTCTGCACTAAGTTTGGCATCAATATAGTGACCTCCCAGGAGTGGGAGACCACCAGGTTGCCGAAGGAGGGGTGAACCAGCCCAGGTCGGAAATGGAGCAGGTCAAAACTCCCGTACTGATCAGTACTGAGATGGCGCCTGTAAATAGTCACTGCACTCCAGCCTGGGCAATATAGTGAGACCCCATCTCTAAAAAAAAAAAAAAAAAAAAGAGAGAGAAGAAAGATCAGATCTCTATAAAACATAAAAAAATTAGCTGGGCGTGGTAGAACATACCTGCAGTCCCAGCCACTCAGGAGGCTGAGGTGGGAGGATCCCTTGAACTGCAGTAGGTCGAGGCTGCAGTGAGCTATGATTCCACCACTGCGTTCCAACCTGGGCAACCTAGAGCAAGATCCTATCTCAAAAACAAAAAATAATAATAATAGTAAAATCACACATCAACTTCCCTGTTATAGGAATACCTTGGGTTTGATGTCAAGATTGCATTTAAGCCAAGGCTAAAAGTCCAGAGTCCCAAACTAGAAACAACAGACCCAAGGGGTCCATCTCCCAGCTTTGCCTTCCTCCATCCCAGCAGCCTCGCCTCCCTGAACTCCCTGTCTCTCTAGAAAGCTGACAGGAGTGCCCTGGCAGGCAAGGCAAACCGAGCTGACCTGGAGACCGTGGCGCTGGAGCTGAACGAGATGATTCAGAACATGCTCTTCAAGGTCACGATCCATGAGGACGACTGGAAGAAGGCTGTGGAGCAGCTCAGCAAGGACATGAACACCAAGGTGAGTGCCGCTGTGTGGATTTTCATTTGCTTCCCAACACATTAACCTAATTTAGCAGCTGCAAACAACAAATGCTTCCAATTTAGGAGGAACAAGAATTTGGGAGTGAGGTCAGGCATGGTGGCTCACGCCTGTAATCCCAGAATTTTGGGAGGCCAAGGCAGGCAGATCACCTGAGGTCAGGAGTTTAAGACCAGCCTGACCAACATGGAGAAACCCTATCCCTACTAAAAATACAAAAATAGCTGGGTGTGGTGGCACATGCTGTAATCCCTACTTGGGAGGCTGCTATTCAGGAGGCTGAAACCCAGGATCAACACAAGAGAATTGCTTTAACCTCTGCATGCCTGTAATCCCTACTCAGGAGGCAGCTACTCAGGAGGCTCAGGCAGTAGGGTCACTTGAACCCAGGAGGCAGAGGTTGCAGTGAGCCAAGATCAAGCCATTGCATCCAACCTGAGCAAGAAGAGCAAAACTCCATCTCAAAAAAAACTTTTGTGAGTGACCTAGCAGCTTAGCTGGGTGGCTCAGGGTCTCCCATGAAATTGCAGTCAAGATGTCATCCAGGGCTGATCTCATCTGAAGGCTCAAATGAGGCTAGATGAGCCAATTCAAAGGAGATTCCTCATGTGGCTGTTGGTAACACTCCTCAGTTCCTTATCCCATGGACTCCACCTTAGGACCCCTTGAGTGACCTCATGTCATGGCAGCTGACCTCCCCAGAGCAAATGATCTAAGAGGGGAAGAAAGAAGCTACGTCTTTTTTTTTTTTTTTTTGAGACAGGGTCTCACTCTGGGCACCTGCCCTATACATAGTTAATAAGTGAATAGATCCCCATTTCACAGAGAAGAACAGTGAGCCTCAGAGAGGTTATTATACTCCCCTCAGGGAACCCTGCTGCTCATGGTAGAGCTGGGACTCAAACCCAGAGCTGTCTGATTTTAAACCTAATCTAACTTCTTTGGGCCATACTAGCCACCTCAATTGCAACAACCCTGTAACACTGTCTTTAGACCACCTGTTTTGTCTACTACACTGTGCTAATTGAGGTAGGGGCTATGACTTCTCTACACATTTCCCCAGGTCTGGCACATCACTGGCAGTGTAAATGATGAATGAATAAATGAATGACTGCCATGGCCCCTCAGAGACTCCCCTCCTCAACTCCACATCCCTGAGCTTAGCCAGCCAGGAGAGTGGCGTAGTTAGCCCCCAGGACGGTCCCCAGCCATACCTCTTGGTATTTGCACAATTGCTTAGCCCCCTCCCACGTTGAATGGGTCCAGCTTGTGTAATCAACAGGATATTACAGAGATGATGGGGGTGACCGCCTTCCATCATAAAAGACATTGCAGGCCAGGCCTGGTGGCTCACGCCCGTAATCCCAGCACTTTGGGAGGCTGAGGCAGGCAGATCACAAGGTCAAGAGATCGAGACCATCCTGGCCAACATGGTGAAACCCCATCTCTACTAAAAATACAAAAATTAGCTGGGCATGGTGGCGCATGCCTCCTAGCTACTCAGGAGGCTGAGGCAGGAGAATCACTTGAACCTGGGAGGCGGAGGTGGCAGTGAGCTGAGGTTGCACCACCTGCACTCCAGCCTGGCGACAGAGGGAGACTAGTCTCAAAGCAAAAAAAAAAACCAAAAGACAAAAAACAAAAAACAAAAAAACTTTGCAGCCAGGTGTGGTGTCTCACACCTGTAATCCCGGTATTTTGGGAGACCAAAGCAGCTGGCAGATCACTTTAGCCCAAGAGTTCAAGCCCAGCTTGAGCAACATGGTAATCTCTGTCCCTAAGGGGAAAAAAGAAATTAGCCAGTTCCAACTACTCAGGAGGCTGAGGTGAGAGAATACCTGAGCCTGGGAGGTTGAGACTGCGGTGAACCAAAATGGTGCCACTGTACTCCAGCCTGGGCAACAGGAGCAACCTGACAGGCACTCAGAGTGAGACCCTATCTCAAAAAAAAAAAAAGAAAACAAAGAGGTCTCAAGATACCCAAACGCAACACATGAAGAAGTTTTACTTGTTTCCTGGTTTAATTGAACCAAGTCTGCCAATGGGCTGGAGATGACGTCCAAGTCACGAATTGTTGCTAATTGCATTAAACGTGATAATGGCATTATGGTTCTGTAATAAAAAGTTATCACACTCAAATATTTATGAGTGAAATGTCACCATGTCTGTAACTTAAAAAAAAATACTCCGGCCGGGCACGGTGGCTCAAGCCTGTAATCCCAGCACTTTGGGAGGCCGAGGCGGGTGGATCACGAGGTCAAGAGATCGAGACCATCCTGGTCAACATGGTGAAACCCCGTCTCTACTAAACATACAAAAATTAGCTGGGCATGGTGGCGTGTGCCTGTAATCCCAGCTACTCAGGAGGCTGAGGGAGGAGAATTGCCTGAGCCCAGGAGGCGGAGGTTGCGATGAGCCGAGATTGTGCCATTGCACTCCAGCCTGGGTAACAAGAGTGAAACTCCGTCTCAAAAAAAAAAAAAAAAAAAAAAAAAAAAAAATACTCCATCAGGTGGTGCAGTGGCTCACACCTATAATCCCAGCATTTTGGGAGGTCAAGGTCAGAGGATCACTTGAGCCCAGGGGTTTGAGACCAGTCCTGGCAACATAGCAAGACTCTATCTCTACTTTAAAAAAAATTTTTTTGGGGGGCCAAGTGTGGTGGCTCAAGCCTGTAGTCCTAGCACTTTGGGAGGCCAAGGCAGGCGAATCATGAGTTCGAGAGCAGCCAGGCCAACATAGTGAAACCCCGGCTCTACTAAAAATACAAAAATTAGCTGGGCATGGTGGTGGGCACCTGTAATCCCAGTTACTCAGGAGCCTAATGCAGGAGAATTGCCTGAACCCAAGAGGTGAAGGTTGCAGTGAGCGAAGATTGTGCCACTGTACTCCAGCCTGGGTGACTAAGTAAGACTCCATCTCAAAAAAAAAAAAAAAAAAAAAAAAAAATTTTTTTCCCCAGGCACAGTGGCTCACATCTGTAATCCCAACATTTTTGGAGGCCGAGGTGGGTTGATCACTTGAGGTCAGGAGATCGAGACCAGCCTGACCAACATGGTGAAACCCCGTCTCTACTAAAAATACAAAAAATTAGCCAGGCATGGTGGCACGCACCTGTAATCCCAGCTACGCTGGAGGCTGAGGCAGGAGAATCGCTTGAACTCAGGAGACAGAGGTTGCAATAAGCCAAGAGCACACCATTGCCCTCCCACCTGGGCAACAAGAGTGAAACTCCATCTCAAAAATAAATTAATAAAATAAAAATAAATAAAATTGACTGTGAACCGGGTGCAGTGGCTCAAGCCTGTAATCTCAGCACTTTGGGAGGCCAAGGCGGGTGGATCACGAGGTCGAGAGATCGAGACCATCCTAGTCAACATGGTGAAACCCCGTCTCTACTAAAAATGCAAAAAATTACCTGGGCATGGTGGCACGTGCCTGTAATCCCAGCTACTCAGGAGGCTGAGGCAGGAGAATTGCCTGAACCCAGGAGGCGGAAGTTGCGGTGAGCCGAGATCGCGCCATTGCACTCCAGCCTGGGTAACAAGAGCGAAAACTCCGTCTCAAAAAAAAAAAGGCCGGGCGCGGTGGCTCAAGCCTGTAATCCCAGCACTTTGGGAGGCCGAGGCGGGTGGATCACGAGGTCGAGAGATCGAGACCAACCTGGTCAACATGGTGAAACCCCGTCTCTACTAAAAATACAAAAATTAGCTGGGCATGGTGGCGTGCGCCTGTAATCGCAGCTACTCAGGAGGCTGAGGCAGGAGAATTGCCTGAACCCAGGAGGCGGAGGTTGCGGTGAGCCAAGACCGCGCCATTGCACTCCAGCCTGGGTAACAAGAGCGAAACTCCGTCTCAAAAAAAAAAAAAAAAAAAAAAATTGACTGTGATGGTTGCAAAACTCAGTGAATATACTAAATGTCATAAACTTGCCCCTTTTACATACACTCTCAATAAGTATGTGTTGAACGTGTGAATATCAAGTACAGTGGGGCCATTGGGAGAAAGGTTTCTCAGACCTCCCAGCCTACATTTGAACTTGGTTTGATTTGATCTCTTGGAGACAGTAGCTGATGGTGTTTTTTGCTTTGGTCACTGGGAAGCTCACCTTGCAGCTCCCTTCTACCCATAGCATCTAGTAGAGGTCTGAGCCTGCACTAGATCTGGGTCATGTTCCCTTTCCTGGACTCCCTGTTTTGGTTGAATTTTGTTATACGCTGTAACTTCCCAAGTTGCTGCAGCCCCTCTTCTGGAAGGGGGCAGGGTGTGAATTCACTGACTATTCTTTCTTTTCTTCCTCTTGGCTATTGGCAGCTAGTCCACAGTGATCTGGATCCCTTGAAGAAAGAAATGGAAGAGGTCTGGAAAATAGTCCGGAAGCTGCTGATTGAGGGCTTAAGATTGGACCCTGACAGTGCTGCCGGCTTTAGGAAGTGAGGGCCTGCCCCGAGCCCCTCCTGGTAGGGGTACTGCTGCCCAGGCTGTGGGAGACACAGGAGGGGAATCCCAGGGGCTCTGGGAGGAAAGATTCCACACCTGTGGATGAGGGGATGGTGGCTGGGCTGTGGCTTAGAGCACAGAGGAGGGGAACTCTGGCCTGAGCTGGCAGAGGGGGCTCCAGTCCTATTCCCGCCAATTGGGAAACCAAGGCTCAGACGGGGAAGGGGACCTGGGCAGATCCGGGACCCCTGACCCCAACTCAAACAGTGCCTCAGGCAGAAGAACCAAATATTTGTGGGGCTCCTGTACTCAGACCACTCCACACAGTTTGTTGTTGTTGTTGTTTTTGAGATGGAGTTTCGCTCTTTTTGCCCAGGCTGGAGTGCAATGGCACAATCTTGGCTCACTGCAACCTCCACCTCCCGGGTTGAAGCAATTCTACCTTAGCCTCCCAAGTAGCTGGGATTACAGGTGTACACCACCACGCCCAGCTAATTTTTTATATTTAGTGGAGACGGGTTTCACCACATTGGTCAGGCTACTCTGGAACTCCTGACCTCAGGTGATCTGCCTGCCTTGGCCTCCCAAAGTGCTGGGATTACAGGCGTGAGCCATTGTGCCTGGCCCACACCCCTCACACAGTTCTAAAGGCCATCCCTTAGACTGGGCAAGGTGGCTCATGTCTGTAATCCCAGCACTTTGGGAGGTTGAGGCGGGCAGATCACCTGAGTTCAGGAGGTTGAGACCAGCCTAGACAATGTGGTGAAACTCTGTTTCTACTAAAAATACAAGAAAAATTAGCTGGGTATGGGGGCACATGACTGTAGTCCCAGCTACTTGGAAGGCTGAGGCAGAATTGCTTGAACCCGGCGGGTAAAGGTTGCAGTAAGCCGAGATTGCCCCATTGCACTGCAGCCTGGGTTACAAAGCAAGACTCTGTCTCAAAAAAAAAGAGACCATCCCTTGTGTTTGGGGTGGCAGAGAAACCACAGGGGTGGTTGGGAACCTCAGGGCCAGGTGCTGGCAGGAGGGGTGCAGCCCTGGGACCCCAGCTAGCTGCAGCATCTGGCACATCGCCTGGGCCCAGCAGGGGCAGTGGCTGATGACCATGTGCCTTTCAGGAAGCTGTTCGAGCGCGTCAAGTGCATATCCTGTGACCGGCCCGTGGAGATGATGACTGGCCCGTGAGTACCACCGCCCAGAGTGCCCTGGCCCTTGGGCCTTGTGGGGTGGATAGATGTCCGCTCCATGCATATCCACATGCACCGTTCCATGCCCGCTGTGTCTACACATCCATGTACAATGTTCTCCAGTCAAGTCCATACACATCCACGTGCACCATTCTGTATGCACCAGTGTCTACACATCTACATACACTGTTCTGCACCGTCAAGTCCATGCACGTCCACGTACACGGACTTGTTCTGTATGTGTCATGTGTATCCACATTCATATACAGGCTTCCCCAGCCTTCCAGATGGCTATTCTATAGCCATCAAAAAATATTCAAATATGTGGCCTTATATGGTGATGCCTACCTGTAGTCCCAGCTACTCAGGAGGCTGATAGGGGAGGATGGCTTCAGCCAAGAAGTTCGAGGCTGGAGTGAGCTAGGATTGTACCTCTGCAGTCCAGCCTGAGTGACAGTGAGACCTCATATCTCATATATATATAACAAGACTGGGCATGGTGGCTCATGCCTATAATCCCAACACTTTGGGAGGCTGAGGAGAGTGGATCATCTAAGGTCAGGAGTTCAAGACCAGCCTGGCCAATATGGTGAAATGTTGTCTCTACTAAAAATGCAAAAATTAGCCGGGCATGGTGGCATGCGCTTGGTAATCCCAGCCACTTGGTAGGCTGAGGCAGGACAATTGCTTATTGCTTGAACCCAGGAGGTGGAAATTGCAGTGAGCCGAGATAATACGACTGCACTCCAGCCTGGGTAACAGTGAGAGACCCTGTCTTAAAAAAAAAAATATATATATATATATACACATACATATATATATATATATGTATTACAGTTTACAGTACAGTTTCTATTGGCTGGGTGTAGTGGCTCACGCCTGTAGTCCCAGCACTTTGGGAGGCCGAGGTGGGTTGATCACGAGGTCAGGAGTTCAAGACAAGCCTGACCAACATGGTGAAACCCCGTCTTTACTAAAGATACAAAAAATTAGCCAGGCATGGTGGCAGGCGCTTGTAATTACAGGTATTGGAGAGGCAGAGGCAGAGAATTGCTTCAACCTGGTAGTCAGACATTGCAGTGAGCTGAGATCACACCCCTGCACTCCAGCCTGGGTGAGAGTCTGACTCCATCTCAGAAAAACAGAACAAAACAAAACAAAAACCAGTTTATATCCTAGCTACTCAGGATACTGAGGCAGAAGAATCACTTGAACCTGGGAGGTGGAGGTTGCCTTGAGCTGAGATTATGCCATTGCACTCCAGACTGATGACAGAAGAGACTTCATCTCAAAAAAATAAAAAGATAAAACAGTTCTAGCTCCCCAGGAAGACTATTATGTTTACTTTATTTATATTTCTTTATTAAGGCAAATTACACGTGACATAAAATTAACTATTTTAAAACAAGTAGTTAGGGGCATTTGGTACATTCACAGAGGGTACAGGCATCACCTCTCTCTACTGCTGTGGCATTTTCAGTCCCTCAAAAGGAAACTTCAACTCATGAAGCTGTGTCTCCCTGTCCTTCCTGCCTCCAGCCCCGGCAACCACCAATCTGCATCCTATTTCTAGGATTTATCTTATTCTGCTTTTCACTTTTATTATTATTATTTTTACTATTTGAGACTAGGTATCCCTCTGTCACTCAGGCTGGAGTACAGTAGCACAGTCACGGCTCACTGTAGCTGCCAATCAGGTGATCCTCCCGCCTCAGCTTCCCAAGTACCTGGGATTACAGGCATGCACTGCCACACCCAGCTAATTTTTGTATTTTTAGTAGAGATGGGATTCCTCCATGTTGCCAAGGCTGGTCTTGAACTCCTGACCTCAAGTGATCTGTTCAACTCAGCCTCCCGAAGTTCGGGTATTACTGGTGTATGCCACTGTGCCCGGCCTGGTTTTTACTTTTGTAAATAGAACAATTGTTTTTTGTGTCTTACTGTGATGATCAGAGCTCCTGAGATGCCCCTTGAGGTAGGGGTGGGGGGCCTTCTACTTCTGTGCTGTGAACGCTTCTAGCATTTGAGGTTGGTGACCTGAGGCTGCACCTCCTTCCTCCCTCTGGGAAGGCTTCCTGGAGGAGTGGGAGCCGAGCCCTTTGCTGGCTTGGCGCGCCTCGCACAGCCCCTGCAGAGCCCTTGTCCTCCTACAGACACCTGATCACCATCCGCAAAGCACACCTGCTGTCCCGGCTGCGGCCAGCCAGCGCCAACAGCTATGAGTACTTGCAGAGGCAACAGATGAGGTGAGCAGGGTGGGTGCCCCGCATGGAGGTCACTCCGAAGCCTGGGAACACTGTTCCTGCAAAGACACATCCTCCAGGCCCAGGAACCAAAGATTGTTTCAGACATGGCCAGCCCTTCGAAAGAGGGGCAGTCTGAGAGGTGGCTAGGGCGGCAGACAGGCCCACGAGATGACCACGGAGGGAGGAACTGACATATTTCCTGGGCATCTATTGTGGGCCAAGAACTGTAAGAGGGTTTCTCACTGAAATTCCACAACCTGCTGTGAGCTAGGATTCCTATGCCCGTGTCCCTGTTTCTTGGTGGAGGAAATCGGTGATGATGGGGGATCCTTGGGGAAATACCGATCCTTGGGGAAATACCCCAGTAGGCACTGTGCCAAGTGCTGGGGCTCACCTGGCCTTTTTGTGTCCTCAAAGTTGCCCTCTGAGCTGTATCCTATTACTATCCCATGTCACAGTTGAAGAAACTGAGGCTCAGAGAACTTCAGTGATCTGCCCGAGGTCACTGCTAGCAAGTGGCAGGGCTGACGTCTAAACCCTCAGGTGTCCACCACACCCAGCTGGCTCCCTGGGTCCCAGCCCGACCCCTCAACCTCTTGACTTCCCACAGCTCTGTGGGTTTTCCTGGCCTCCATCACTGCTGTGGGGACATCTGGCCAGGTGGGGGAAGAGCCGGTAAAGAGTCACCACAATCATGGGAAGAGGAGGGAGGTGGGAACGGGCCTGCACCCTCCTTTCCTGGCTCCTTGAGATCAAGAGATTAGAAGGGCGAGCTCTTCAGGCCAGGTGTCTAAAGGGCTAGGAAAATGCAGGACTCACTTCAATTCCTCTGCCTCACTGAGTGCATCCGTATCCACCCGCCAAGCCCCAGGCCTGCCTGGCTGTGCCACCCAAACGCAAGCTGAGAGAAATGCTGGTCTTCCCTCAATGCTAGCCAGGCCCTTGAGGTCCATCCTGGGGAGCTCTGGGGTGCAGGGTCTCCAGGTCGCTGCTGACCCACCGTCCTGCCCCAGGGAACAGCAGCAGCTACAGTTCCAGGACCTCGGCATCCAGGAGGATGTTCAGCAGGACTGGGGTGATGGCCCCCAAAATGACACCAGCTTCAAGTGCAAGTCCTGCAACCTGTCAACGCTTTATCCCTATGGGGATCCCCACGTGATCGACTATGACAGCGTGAGTCTGGCCAGGGCCTCCTTCTCAGAGGGTGGATGTCAGCGCACCCCACCCCCAGGTGTGGGACCAGGCCCCGGGCGGTGGGTGGTGGGCAACCCGAGTGGAGGCTGCGCTCTGTCTTCTGGGCCTCTGCATGCACTAAAGTTGGGGGGCAAACCGGATGGGAGCTCGCTGACCTTGGATCTGGGGCATCCAACAGGTCGAGGTGGATATCCTCGGTGTGGATGGGATCCTATACAAAGGCCGCATGAATAGCCAGAGGGGGACTCAGGCCTCGGCCATCGCAAAGGAGCTGGCAGGTGAGGGGGAGTCAGGTTCCGTGGGGCACCCCTGCCTGGGGCCCTGGTTCTGCTGGGCAGGGTGAGAGGGTTCAGGTGGGGCCCAGAGCCAGCACTGTCCCTGACCGGGGAGCCCTCACACTATCAATCACAAAACTTGGGTCACAGCAGGCACCCAGGACACCTGGTCTTTGCAATGGGAGAGGGAGACTGCAGGAGGGAGGATCTGCTGTCCCAGAGATCAACAGCTGACCTGAGGGAGGGCTGTGGCCACAGGACCATGGCCTGTGATGAAGGACGATGGGCAAGGGAGGGTGCTAGGCTGGTGCCAAAGGACACCAAGGAGGAGGGACTGGACAGCTGCCCTGAAGCCCTTGAAGAGGGACTAGGAGTTCATTGGAGCTGGGTAAGAGGAGAGTGGTCTTGTGGCAGGATGGTAGGTGCAAGGGCCCTGTGCTGGGTGGAAGCCAGACACAGGCAGGAACTCGGGATACCAAGTTTCCCTGGAGGGCGGAGACTGTGGTGGAGCAGTGGGGTGACTAGGAGGATCCTTGGATCAGACCACAGAGGCTGTGTGTTGATATCACAGGCAAGGGTTGGGCCAGCAGGAGACCCAGACCTGTGCACATCCCGAATCAGTCGTTGTGGTCGCTGCAGTGCTGTGGCCTGGCTCTGGCCAGCTCCTTCTGGGACCCCAAGACTCTGCAGTTCATTACTAGATTTGAAGGACAAAAGGGGAGCCTTCTTTACCCTTGGGGAAGAGGAGTTCTAAATTTTGCCCCTAGGTGGGAGCCACATACTTTCCCGTTGGGAGTGGTCCTGGAGCCACAAGATGGCTGGGGGCTGAACTCCACCTGCAGAAATTCTTTCTGTTTGTTTGTTTTTTGAGATGAAGTCTTACTCTGTTGCCCAGGCTGGAGTGCAGTGGCGTGATCTCAGTTCATTGCATCCTCCACCTCTCAAGTTCATGAGATTCTCCTACCTCAGCCTTCCAAGCAGCTGGGATTATAGTTGCCCACCATTGTGTCTGGCTAATTTTTTTTTTTTTTTTTTTGAGATGGAGTCTTGCTCTTTCGCCACATTGGAGTGCAGTGGCACAATCTCGGCCTACTACAATCTCCGTCTCCTAGATTCAAGCGATTCCCTTGCCTCAGCCTCCTGAGTAGCTGGGACTGCAGGCACACGCCACCACGCCCATCTAATTTTTTGTATTTTAGTAGAGATGGAGTTTCACCATGGCCAGGATGATCTCAATATCCTGACCTCATGATCCGCCTGCCTCAGCCTCCCAAAGTGCTGGGATCATATGTGTGAGCCACCGTGCCCAGCCAATTTTTTGTATTTTTTACTAGAGATAGGGTTTCACCATGTTGGTCAGTCTGGTCTCTATCTTCTGACCTCAAGTGTTCCACCCACCTTGGCCTCCCAAAGTGCTAGGAGCACAGGTATGAGCTATGGCATCCAGCTCACCCGCAGAAATTCTTTCTCCCCAACGCTGTGCCTCTATTGACTCGAGAACTAAACACCAAATGTGGAAGAAAGGAGGGTGGACTGTTTCATCTACATGCTGGGCAAAGAAGGAGGCATGCTACATTAGTCTCCTGGGGCTGCCAAGAAAAATTACAAGCTGGGTGGCTTAAAATAGCTGAAGTTCCAGCCTGTAGTGCCAGCTACTCAGGAGGCTGAGGAAGGAGAATCACTTGAGCCCAGGAATTTGAGGCTGCAATGAGCCATGATCTCATCACTGCACTCCAGCCTGGGTGACAGAGCCTGACCCTGTCTAAAAAAAAACCAGAACAAGCCGGGCGCGGTGGCTCAAGCCTGTAATCCCAGCACTTTGGGAGGCCGAGGTGGGTGGATCACGAGGTCAAGAGATCGAGACCATCCTGGTCAACATGGTGAAACCCCATCTCTACTAAAAATACAAAAAAATTAGCTGGGCATGGTGGTGTGTGCCTGTAATCTCAGCTACTCAGGAGGCTGAGGCAGGAGAATTGCCTGAACCCAGGAGGCGGAGGTTGCGGTGAGCCAAGATCGCGCCATTGCACTCCAGCCTGGGTAATAAGAGCGAAACTCCGTCTCAAAAAAAAAAAAAAAAAAACCAGAACAGAACAAAAGCAAGCAAAAACAAAGCCAACAACAGCAAAATATAGCTGGAGTTGATTCTCCCTCTGTTATGGAGGCTGGAAATCCTAAATTAAGGGGTCAGCAGGGCTGTGCTCCCTCCAAAGCCTTGAGGGGAGGGTCCCTCCCTGCCTCTTCCAGCTTCTGGGGCCGCTGGCACTCCCTGGCATGCTCTGTCCACATGTGGTCTTCTCCTCTGTGTGTTCTCTCCTGTGTCCCCCGTAATGACATTTGTCTTTGGATTTGTGCCCAACTTAACCCAGGATGATCTCATCTCAAGATCCTTAACCTAATTATACCTGCAAAGACCCTTTTTCCAAATAAGGTTACATTCACAACTTCTATGAGATGTATCTTTCTAGAGCACCATTCAACACACCCTGTTTCCAGGGGGACCGGACACCGTCTCAAACCCTGCATTATCCTGGGTCAGGGGATGTGGCTTCTCCTGGCGAGGACTGGCCATTCCAGGCCCTGCCTCCTGCCTGCTATTTGCTGGGAGAGCTCAGGCTGGGCGTCAGGGATCACCAGGCAGGATCACAACAGTGGCTAATATTTAATATTCCATGAACCCTGACTTTGCGCCAGGCCCTCCCCCACCTCCTCCACCCTGCAACAACCTGCCAAGAGTTTCACAAATGATCAGCTGAGGGCTGCTTGCTGGGGGCCAGGGCAGATGTATTGTACGTCTGATAGACCAGTCCTGTCCCCGCTCATCCACTGACCTCCCCAAGGCTGGTAGCCTGGGCGGGGGCGGGGGGGTGCTTTCCTCCATGGCTCATTCATTCTCAAGACCCACACAGCAAACCAGGACTTGAATCATGATAGTATCAACTGCTTTATCTTTTTTTTTTTTTTGAGACAGAGTTTCACTCTTGTTGACTAGGCTGGAGTGCAGTGGCGTGATCTCGGTTCACTGCAGCCTCCACCTCCCAGGTTCAGGCGATTCTCCTACCTCAGCCTCCTGAGTAGCTGAGACTACTGGCACACACCACCATGCCCAGCTAATTTTGTTTTTGTAGTAGGGATGGGGTTTCACCGTGTTGGCCCTGCTGGTCTTGAACTCCTGACCTCACCTCAAGTGATCCATGTGCCTCAGCCTCCCAAAGTGGGATTACAGGTGTGAGCCACCTCGCCCGACCCTCAGTGGCTTTATCTTGCTTGGAGGTGACAAAATCTGATAGTACAGATGCTCCTCAACTGATGATGGGGCTGTGTCCTGATAAAGTCAGAGTACCCAGGCTGGAGTGCAATGGCACAATCTCGGCTCACCACAACCTCTGCCTACTGGGTGCAAGCGCTTCTCCTGTCTCAGTTCCTAAGTAGCTGGGATTATAGGCATGCACCACCATGCCCCACAATTTTTATATTTTTAGTAGAGATAGGGTTTTGCCATGTTGGTCAGGCTGGTCTCAAACTCCTGAGCTCAGGTGATCTGCCCACCTTGATCTACCAAAGTGCTGGGATTACAGGTGTGAGCCACTGTGCCCATTCTCATGTGACTTATTGACTACTATATATTACACTGAAATAATGATGGATTTACCATCTTAAAGCTGAAAAGTGGTAAGTTAAGTCACTGTAAATCAGGCCCCTTCTGTATTAGAAATCAATTGGAAACCTGTCCGTGGCTTTTGTCACTCACTTATCTCCCCAAAAGAACTTTCTAACTCAAAACAGACTCAAAGCCAAGTACAGTGGCTCACACATGTAATCCTAGCACTTTGGGAAGCTGAAGCTGGAAAACCACTTGAGCTCAGAAGTTCAAGATCAACCTGGGCAACATGGTGAAACCCCACCTTTACAAAAAATACAAAAATTAGGCCAGGCAAGGTGGCTCACGCCTATAATCTGAGCACTTTGAGAGGCCAACGTGGGCAGATCATGAGGTCAAGAGATTGAGACCATCTTGGCCAACATGATTAAACCCCGTCGCTACTAAAAATGCAAAATTAGCTAGGTGTGGTGGTGCCTGTAGTCTCAGCTACTTGGCTGAGGCAGGAAATCACTTGAACCAAGGAGGCAGAGGTTGTAGTGTGCCAAGATCATGCCACTGCACTCCAGCCTGGTGACAGAGCAAGACTCCATCTCAAAAATAAAATAAAATTAGCTGGACATGGTGAGGTGCCCTGTAGTCCCAGCTACTTGGGGGAGCTGAGATGGGAGAATCACTTAAGTCCAAGAGGTCCAGGCTGCAGTGAGCCCAGATTGCAACGCTGTACTGCAGCCTGGGCAAACGAATGAGACTTGATCTCAATAAAAAGAAAGAGTCCAGGTTCAGTGGCTCACACTTGTAATCCCAGCATGTTGGGAGGCCGAGGCGGGTGGATCACAAGGTTAGGAGTTCTAGACCAGCCTGTCCAATATGGTGAAACCCCATCTCTACAAAAAATACAGAAATTAGCCAGGCATGGTGGTGCATGCCTATAGTCCCAGCTACTTGGGAGGCTGAGGCAGGAGAATCACTTGAGCCCAGGAGGTAGAGGTTGCAGTAAGCCAAGATCGTGCCACTGCACTCCAGCTTTGGTAACAGAGTAAGACTCAGACTCAAAAATAAAAGAAATTTTAAAAAAAAACTCAATTTAAAAAACCAACAACAACAACAAACAGAAAGGAATGTCCAGAATAGACAAATCTATAGACAGAAGGAAAACTGGTGATTTCCAGGGACTGGGGTTTGGGGTGGGGGAAGTGACAGTGACTGCTTTATGGGGACAGGGCCCCTTTTGAGGTGATGAGAATGTTTCAGAAGAAGGTATCAGTGGTGTACAATGCTGTCTGTGTCCTAAATGCCTCTGCATTGTGCACCTTAAAAAAATTTTTTTTCGCCGGGCGCGGTGGCTCAAGCCTGTAATCCCAGCACTTTGGGAGGCCGAGGCAGGTGGATCACGAGGTCAAGAGATCGAGACCATCCTGGTCAACATGGTGAAACCCCGTCTCTACCAAAAATACAAAAAATTAGCTGGGCATGGTGGCGCATGCCTGTAATCCCAGCTACTCAGGAGGCTGAGGCGGGAGAATTGCCTGAGCCCAGGAGGCGGAGGTTGTGGTGAGCCGAGATCGCGCCATTGCACTCCAGCCTGGGTAGCAAGAGCGAAACTCCGTCTCAAAAAAAAAAAAAAAAAAAAAAAAAAAATTTTCGACATGGAGTTAAGGTCTTGTGGCCCAGGCTGGAGTGCGATGGTGCAATCTCAGCTCACTGCAACCTCCGCCTCCTGGGTTCAAGCAATTCTCCTGCCTCAGACTCCCGAGTAGCTGGGATTACAGGTATGCATCACCACACCTGGCTAATTTTGTATATTTAGTGGAGATGGGGTTTCTCCATGTTGGCCAGGCTGGTCTCAAACTCCTGACCTCAGGTAATCTGCCTGCCTTAGCCTTCCAAAGTGCTGGGATTACAGGCGTGAGCCACCGTACCCGGCTGAATTGTGCAGTTTAAACTGGTTAATTTTACCTAGCATAGATTTTACTTCAAATAATGCCAAAAAAAAAAAAAAAGGTGAAGGACAGGAAGATGGAGGTGGGCATTTGGGTGCTGTGGACCCCAGTGGGATAGGTAAACCATAAATAGCCGTGCCAGCAGTTCACCTATGTCTTACTGTGCTGAAATCAAGTTGCACTCCTTGGCCTAGAATTACTTTCTTTTTTTTTTTTTTGAGATGGGGTCTTACTCTGTTGCCTAGGCTGGAGTACAATGGTACACACTCGGCTCACTGCAACCTCCGCCTCCCAGGTTCAAGGGATTCTCCTGCCTCAGCCTCCTGAGTAGCTGGGATTACAGGTGTGTGGCACCATGCCCAGCTAATTTTCATATTTTTAGTAGAGATGAGGTTTTACCATGTTGGTCAGGCTGGTCTCGAACTCCTGACCTCATGATCCGCCCGCCTCAGCCTCCCAAAGTTCTGGGATTACAGATGAGCCACCACACCCGGCAGAGTTACTTTCAAAGAGGCTTCTTTTCTATCTTATCCTCGAGCTGCTCTCAAGAAGGCAAGGAAGTCTGGGCACAATGGTTCACACCTATAATCTCAGCACTTCAGGAGGTCAAGATGGGAGGATTGCTTGAGCCCAGGAGTTCAAGACTAGCCTGGGCAACATAGTGAGACCTCCTCCCTAAGAAAATTTTTAAAAATTAACCAGGAGTGGTGGCGTATGCCTGCTACTCAGACGGCTGAAGCAGGAGGATTGCTTGAGCCCAGGAGTTTGAGGCTACAGTGCCTTCCAGCTTGGGCGATAGAATGAGGCCCTGCCTCAAGAAAAAAAAAAGGGGCAAGGAGGGAGGAACATTGTTCCCTAAAGGAATGTACCGGGGGCCTGGGAAACTGGGCTGGTCCCAGCAGAGGGAGAAGCGTGGCTGGTGCTAGGATTGGCCTGACACAGGCCCGTGGGCTGCTCACTTCTGTCCCTTCTTTTCTTTTCTGCTAAGCTGTGAAGGCTCCGTGTCCCCCGTCACAAAGCCTGTATGACCGTGTGCACTCCAGCTCCCTATTTGGTGCCGTCTGCCCCCGTGAGTACCTGGCCCCCAGCCCAGGCTCAGCTGTGATTCTGGAAGGGTCTCTGGTCCCTCCTTGTCTCACCCCATCCCCCACACCCTGCCTGGGCTCTCCTGTCCACCTCCTCCACCTCCTCCACCTCCTGCCTGCTCTGCCTGCCCATTGCACTTCAGATATGCTTCTTGGCCCTAGTGCCATCCCCAGTGCCCAGGCATCTGTCCCCAGCGTCCACCCAGCTGCAGGGGGGGTACAAGGGAACTGAGGTTGGAAGGAGCTGAGCTCCTCTTGTTTGAATCAACATGTGCCAGGCATCTGAGGGCCCTTTACAGTTTACAAGGCAGTTTCTCCCTTGACTCATCTGAACCTCATCCCAACTCCTGTGAGGTAGGCACTGTTCTCCCATTTCACAGAGGAGGGAGTGGAGGTTCAGTCACCTTGAGCTGTGGCCCAAGGTCACAGAGCTGGTGAGCAGGGAGCTGAGCCCAGATCTGTGGACTCCAAGCTCCATGTTCTCTCCAGGGGATCTGCTCCACTTAAGGAAACATTTGTGGTGTCATTTATCTTGGGTTACCTGCTCAGGACGTTGAGGGGGCCCAGGGCCCAGGCGAGGTATGGTACCCAGCCGGCCATGGTCTGTATAGCGCTTCTAGTCCTAGGCTTCTCCTTAGTGGGTATGCCCCTGTCAGGCTAGTGTCTCCCGAGAAGGTTTTTGGCACACATCTCGGGTTTCTCCTGCCCCTCCCAGCCCTGCGCCCCCACACCAGTGCCCGCTCATCTGCCTCAGGCCCTCACCCGACGATGCCAGCTCGGCCACCTTCCCTGCCACCTCTGCCACTGCTGCCACCACTGATTCCGCCCCTGACGGACCCCCAGCAGGCTCCAGGGCCCACCAGACTTTCAAGAGCTCCACATATCGAGTCCCGAGTCAGCAGGAAGCCCCATGAGGAGCCCGCCAACCTGTGAGCCCCACCCCCCTGTGGCCCCCACCACCAGGTCCCCTCCTTGTCTCCGGCTGAGACCCAGAGTCTTGAGCCTGGCCCAGAAAGGGTGCTGGGGCCCTGGGTATAGGGAAGGGACCTGTGTAGGGGACCCCCACGTTGACCCAGTGGCTGTTTTATCCTGCGTGCGCATATAAATACAAACAACACAGTTCATGTTCTTATTCTACATTGCCATGCAAACACAGAAGCCAACCGAATTCCTTGATCCATTTTCAATATAACTCCAAGTGGTTTTAAAAACGCTTTTCCTTTTTAGTTGCTGAATGATTTCATTAGATAGAATCAGTTCCAATCACTGTGGATTTCATTTGCTGGCCATTCTTTCCAAGACCAATTTCCCCACAGGAACCAGACTGGGCTGTGAACATTCTTCTGATTTCATGTTATTTCTACCAGTAACTAATTATGAATTGGATTTTTTTTTTTTCAAAATCCGATTGTTTATATTAGCCTCTTGGCTGATCCATGAGGAAGCTGTTGCAGCACCCATGGGATATTCCGAGGTGGCCATCCCATCCAGGGCTGGGTGCCACTGGCCTGTTTCAAGTCTTTCTGGTTCTGTGCTTACCACCCATGCGTTTGGTGGGAAAAGAGCCAACTGTGAGGTCACACCATCTCGCTGTGGCAATTCAGGGACGGGCCTTGGCATGCAGAATAGAGGGCTCCCCCCAGGCCCCGATACCCTGTGATGCTTCTGGCATCATTTCTTCCCCTTCTGATGGTTTGCCTGTCTTTCCCTTCAATTTTCTCCCTTTCAATCCTGCTCCCTCTTCCCTTTCTCACCCCTAGTGCTGTCCAGCTTTGCCCTCTCCTTCTGTACTATTGACGGTTCTAGCCCATTGCAGAGACTAAAACAACGTCCCTATGCAGGGTGAAGCTTGACCCCCCTGCATGGCCCCCAGCATCTGCTGGATCCCTGGGGTGGCATCGGGGGGTTAAAGGGCTGGTGGGGAGCTGCCAGGAGGAAGCTGGAGGGGGGGTCCCCATTCACTCTCTTTTTGCTGTGTGGGGTGGGGGGCTTGGGGCTCCAGGCTCTCCCCAGACTCAGTGGCCATGAGAGTCTGGGGACACTGCATGGCTGCTCTGTTCTTATTGTCCCCAAGATCCCTGGACCAGCTCATTGTGACCCACCACCCCCTACGCTGACTGCTCTTTTCTTTCTCCAAGGACTGTGTTCAAATGAAGCTAAGCCCCTCCTGACCCGAGTTGACACCTGCCTAAACTGCTTTGGGGGACACTGGTTGGTGCAGCCCCAGCCCTCACCCTGACCCCTATACCACAGATGAGTATTTTAGGCAACTTCTACCCAGAACAAAATCTTCCACTTTTTTATTATTATTAATTTATTTATATTTTTACACAGGGTTTCGCCATATTGGCCAGGCTGGTCTTGAACTCCTGACCTCAGGTGATCCGCCTGCCTCAGCCTCCCAAAATGCTGGGATTACAGGCATGAGCCACTGCACCCAGCCCCCACTTTTCATTTTTCCTTTTCTTTCTTTCTTTTTCTTTTCTTTTTTTTCTTTTTTTTTTTTTTTTTTTTTTTTTTTTTTTTTTGAGACAGTGTTTTGCTCTTGTTGCCCAGGCTGGAGTGCAATAGTGCAATATCAACTCACCATAACCTCCGCCTCCCGGGTTCAAGCGATTCTCCTTCCTCAGCCTCCCAAGTAGCTGGGAGTACAGGCATGCACCACCACGCCCAGCTAATTTTATATTTTAGTAGCGACAAGGTTTCTCCATGTTGGTCAAGCTGGTCTTTAACACCCAACCTCAGGTGATCCACCCACCTCAGCCTCCCAACATGCTGAGATTACAGGCGTGAGCCACCTCGCCTGGCCAATCTTCCACTTTTCTTTTTTCTTTTTCTTTTTTTTTTTTTTTTTTTGAGATGAAGTCTCACACTGTTGCCCAGGTTGAAGTGCAGTGGCGAGATCTCAGCTCACTGCAATCTCCGTCTCCTGGGTTCAAGCAGTTCTACCTCAGCCTTCTGAGTAGCTGGGACCACAGGAGTGGTCCTCTCACACTGCTGGGATTACAGGCATGAACCACCATGCCCAGCCCCAATCTTCCACTTTTCTTAACGTGGATGAAGGGACGGGATGGGTGCCTTCTATGTGGGGAGGTGGGACTTGCTGGTCCCTCCTCCAGCCACCACCTGAGGCTCAGACTTCGGGCAGAAGAGGAGGCACCCAGGGTTACAGAGTGAAGCCCCGGCTCACTGTCCCTCACTAGGAGGTTGAATCTACTGGGTCCTGTGACTTCCACCCCATCCCACTGTGAGGGATGCCTGGCTCCCGCTCTGCTGAGCTGGGAGGGGAGGGCTCCTGAGGGACACCAGGCCAAGCCATCTTGACATGTGGCACCCAGGGAATCCCTTGGTCCCGCAAAGCTGGGCCCCACTCTCCCTTGTGCCTTGCACTACCGTCCCCCCGGGCCCCTCCGAATTACCTTCTGAGTCTCTTTCTACTGTGTACAAGCCAGGGCTGGAGTGGGTTTCTGCAGCCCAGCAGGTGGGGAGCAAGGCCCAGGGGCATTTCCTCTGCATTCTCACAGGCCACCTCGGGGCTTGGGAAGTTGAGGACCCCAGGCCCACAGCAGGCCCATGGGGAGCAGTCCCGAAAGAAGACAGTGCCGAGGGAGGCTTTGGGACAGGCTGGCCTTGGCCTGGTCCCAGGTAGGAGCTGCAGGCAGAATCCCTCCAACCCATGCTAGTGCAGAGGGGTGGGATCTGCAGGCCTTAGAAGCTGTGAGGTGGGAGCTGTGCCTACTCCCTGGGCAGCAGCTGTGGCTTGGTCCAGCACAGTGGCTCACATCTGTAATGCCAGCCCTTTTGGAGGCAGAAGCTGGAGGATCGCTTGAGTCCAGGAGTTTCAGACCAGCCAGGGCAACAATGAGACACAGTCTCTACGAAAAAATAAATAGCTATGTGTGGTAGTGCACGCGTGTGGTCCCAGCTGCTTGGGAGGCTGAGGCGGGAGGATCACTTGAGCCCAGGAGGTCAAGGCTGCAGTGAGCTATGATTGCACCACTGCACTCAATACCCTCTCTCAGAAAAAAAAACAAGAAAACAGATGAATTGGTCATGTGGAGGTGGGAGGGAGGGGTGTGGGCTCTGTGGGTGGGGTGGGCAGGAGGGGGAAGGAGGGTCCCACCTTGAGGTGCTGCTGGAATACAGGACCTGCTGTGTGGTGACCACCCGGTACTGCCAGGCCCAGCCCAACCCACCGCTGCAAGTGAAAGGTCACTGAACACATTCTCCCCTTTCAAGGACTATGAACTCATTAACACTAAGGGATAAACAACGGAGGCTGGCACATGTGTGTTCCAAGCAAGACGGTCGGTCATGGAAAAGGTACTGCGAGTACCCAAAGGTGGACTACCCAGGGTGGAAGTTCAGGCACCAGATGGAAGGGCCTTGTGCGCAGCCCTTCATAGGGATGCTGGAATCAAAGCGTGCTGTCCCCAGCTCCTCGTACCCACTGTCCCGGCTGGCTTGACCTCTGTCTGACTCTCCATGGATGGGCGAGCTCTAGGCAGAGGCCTCCCTCGATTTGCTGCGCTGGGATGTGGGCAAAACGACTCCATCAGGATCGTGGCCTTGCGATTCCCCGGGAGATGAGAGATGCCCCCAAGAAGCAGAGCAGAATTTTGCCAGCAGGCTCTCCAGTGCTGGTGCTATGCCGTTGACAAGTCCTTGGTCATCCTGGAAGGGGTCCCCAACTCCTGCCCTCCCCAGAAGAACTTGGCAGCCCTTCACCTCAAAAACAGCTGTGTTCTTTTAAGGCTCTGTTGAAATACATCCGTTGCCCAAATATGAGCAGTCCAGAGAACTTTCCAAACACAGGAATTAGAAGTAGCCTTGTGTCAAAAGATCTCCATCTGGCCAACCTAGGAGGTCTCCCCAACCCGGGGAGGAAGACTGGAGTCAAAGGACTCGTCTGTCCCGTGCTGGGAACTGCTGTGAAAGCCCCTCAGAGACCTCCAGGGCCACAGCAGCCCCACCCACCCCCGCAGTCAGCCTCGGAGACAGCCTAGTTCCCTGTGGCTGCCCGCAGGGTGTTCTCAGAGAACCCTGGCTGAACCACTGCAAAGACCCTGGGGACACTCAGCAACCTCCGGTGAGTACCCCTCATATGAGAGCATCTCGCAGAACAAACTGTCTCTTTTCACAGCCCTTTCCAGGGGGAGCCCTGCCTGCCGCCATTCCTCCCACCCCACTTGGCAGGGCATTTACTTCTGAAACTCCTCATGGTGAAAAGACAGACTCCCTTCAGGGATTCCAGCCAATTCCCTCGCAGGAGTTGGACTTACACATGTCCATGGTGGCTGGTGGTGTGAAGCAGGCTGGCAGGGCAGGCCAGGCTGTGTATCTAGTGCCATGGTCAATTTCAGCCCATTATAGCCTTAAGGGAATTTGCACCAAATCTTCCAGTTTCCAAGATAAGTCAGAAGTGAGGCTTTCCCCATAAACCCTCCTGATTTTATTTTGTTTATTTTGTTTTTCATTTTTTTGCTCTTGTTGCCCAGGCTGGAGTGCAATGGCACTATCTTAGCTCACTGAAACCTCTGCCTTCTGGGTTCAAGTGATTCTGCTGCCTCAGCCTCTCTAGGAGCTGGGATTACAGGTGCCCAGCAAGCACCCATGCCAGGCTAATTTTTTTGTATTTAGTAGCGATGGGGTTTCACTGTGTTGGTCGGGCTGGTCTTCAACTCCTGACCTCAGGTGATCCACCTGCCTCAGCCTCCCACAGGGTTGGGATTACAGGTGTGAGCCACCATGCCTGGCCTAATCCTCCTGATTTTAAAATGTTGGCAATTTTTTTTTTTTCCAAGATGGGGTTTCACCATGATGGCCAGGCTGGTCTTCAACTCCTGACCTCAGGTGAGCCACCCACCTTGGCCTCCCAAAGTGCTAGGATTACAGGCGTGAGCCACCGCGCCCAGCTGGCAAATATGTTTTTAAAAACTAAAACACGGGCTGGGTCCAGTGGCTCATACCTGTAATCCCAACCCTTTGGGAGGCTAAGGTAAGTAAATCACTTGAGCCCAGGAGTTCGAGACCAGCCTGGGCAATGTGGTGAGACCCGTCTCTACAAAAACAAAAACAAGTAAAACATGGCATGGCAGCCATACAGCACACATTGGGGACTGTGAGTTTGCAAACCTGTAAGATAATGTGTCCTCCCCCTCACAGACTGGAAGATGCACCTGCTGTTTGTCACCTGATGAGGCCAGGCCATCATTCCCCGGTGCTGCCAGGGACGTTTTGGGAATCAGACACGTCAAGCACTTGGCCTTTGAGCCACCTCACAGATGTGTGCAAATGATGTTTTTTTGTTTTGTTTTGTTTTTGAGACAGAATTTCATTCTCGTTGCCCAGGCTGGAGTGCAGTGGCATGATCTCAGCTCACCACCACTTCTTCCTCCCGGGTTCAAGCGATTCTCCTGCCTTAGCCTCTCGAGTAGCTGGAATCACAGGCATGCCCCACCATACCCGACTAATTTTGTATTTTTAGTAGGGACGGGGTTTCTCCATGTTGGTCAGGCTGGTCTCGAATTCCCAACCTCAGGTGATCCACCACTTTGGCCTCCCAAAGTGCTGGAATTACAGCCGTGAGCCACCCCACCCCGGCTGCAAATGGTGTTTCTTAGAGTGAAATTTTGGTCAGTAATGAGATCTTTAGTTTAAAATGGCAAAAAAAAAAAAAAAAAAAAAAAAAAAGTGAAATTTTGGTAATAATCAGTCATTTGGAGCTCAAGTCTGCTGGGCAAGGAGGGTCGTGACCAAGCCCTGGTGAGACTGGACTGTCAAGGAGCATGGCGGGTTTTCCTGTGTCACTTAAACAGCTCCCAGGCTGTGCCCAAGATGAAAGCCTGTAAACATGAGTCTGCTGTGCTAGTTCAGCCAGTGTACACCTTAACACATATTAGGTTGTCACTGGCTCCATTATTTTTGAGATGGAGTCTCACTCTGTCACCCAGGCTGGAGTGCAGTGGGACCATCTCAGCTCACTGTGACCTCCTGCCTCAGCCTCCTGAGTAGCTGGGATTACAGGCATATGCCACCATGCCCGGCTAATTTTTGTGGCCAGGAGTTCAAGACCAGCCCAGGCAACATAGCAAGACTCCCATCTCTACAAAGCATTTAAAAAAAAAAATTAGCCAGGTGGGGTGGCGTGTGCCTGTATGTAGTCCCAGCTACTTGGGAGGCTGAGGTGGGAGGATCACCTGAGCCCAGGATTTCAAGGCTGTAGCAAGCTATGATTGCATCACTGCATTGTAGCCTGGGGAATACAGCAAGACCCTGTCTCTAAAAAACAAAGAAATCAGATTCTGGGACCCTCCTCTAGAACAGCTGCCTCAAGGGAGAGGCCGGGAACATGGGTGTTCAACATGCAGCCAGGGCGTCCCTTGTGCTCTGGAAGTCCGGGGATATCTGCAGGTGCCCACTCACCATGTAGGGGGCATGGCTAGATGGGCACATCAGAAACCTGGGAGCTGTTTTATTTTCAGAAAGAGCTTTGAGGTATAATTGACACACCAGAATGTTCACCTTTCTAAAGCATGCCATTGAGTGCTTTTTGGTGCAGTCACAGATCAGTCACCATTATCTACCCAGGGAGCTTCCATGATCATACATCAGTCCCTTGCCCCAGAGTCTGATGCCATGAGGCCCAGGAACTTGTGGTTTGCTGGTTTTATTTTACCTGCTGTGCAGCCAGGTATGAGAACCACAGAACTAGCACAGAGGCTCTCCACTGGGGCCATGGTGACCTATAGGGGACATTAGCACGGGCTGCAAACAATTCTGATTGTCCCAGTAAGAGGGCTGCCCCTGGATGCAGTGGGGAGCTCTCAGGGATACTGCTCAGCACCACTGCAGGGACAATGACAGCCCTCCATGTCAATAGTGACCATGCTTAAAAAGCCAGCCCTGCAGGAACCTCAAGTCTCTTCCACCCTTAATGTGACGACTTGAGAGCCCCAAGCCCAGTCCACAGTGGCCCCTAGAAACAGAAATGGGGGTGCTGGGACAGTGTCCCTGGTATTTAGTGACGATGTTATATAGGGACACTTCCTAAATTTTGATGTCTATTTGGAACTGGAGGCTTTTGTTAGAATCAGATTCTGATTCAGGGAGTCTTGGTTGCAGCCTGACTCTAATAAGCTCCTGGGTGATGCAGGGGTCAAGACCACGCCTTGAATAGTGAGGGTGTGGTCCACCACAGGCCACCCCAGGGCTCACAGTTTAATAAATGGCACTCCCTGCTGGGTGCGGTGGCTCACTCACTTTGGGAGGCCCAGGCAGGTGGATCACCTTAGTTTAAGAGTTCGAGACCGCCCGGCCATCATGGTGAAACCCCCATCTCTGCTAAAATACAAAAGTTAGGCCAGGTGCAGTGGCTCACACCTATAAACCCAGCACTTTCGGAGGACAAGATGGGAGTATCACGAGGTCAAGAGATCGAGACCATCCTGGCCAACATGGTGAAACCCCGTCTCTACTAAAAATACAAATATTAGCCGGCCATGGTGGTGCATGCCTGTAATCCCAGCTACTCAGGAGGCTGAGGCAGGAGGATCACTTAAACTTGGGAGTTGGAGGTTGCACTGAGCTGAGATCATGCCACTGCATTCCTGCCTGGGCGACAGAGTGAGACTCTATTTCAAAAAAAAAAAAAAAAAATTAGCTACGCAAAGTGGAGGGCGCCTATAGTCCCACCTACCCAGGAGGCTGAGGCAGAACTGCTTGAACCTGGGGGGACAGAGGTTGCAGTGAGCCGAGATCGTGCCACTTCACTCCAACCTGGGCAATCGAGAAAGCCTCCGTCTCAAAAAACAAACGAAAACAGCACTCCCGAGCCTCCCACTGTGCAGTCCTGGACTTCGCTGCCTCATGTGTGGCAGACACCTGCAGCAGCTTAGCATGTGAGAGGTGGGAGAGTCAAAGGGCACTCCACCCCACACTGCAGATAACCTCAAAACATTTCTCTCTGCAGAACTTTTTCCCACCACTGGACGGCGGGTATGGCAATTTCCTGAGAATTTTTTTTCCATCTCAAAGAATGGAGGAGCTGCAAAGTGAAGACTCAGGAGGCTGGAAATGTCCTCCCTCTCCTGCTGCTGTGTTCTCTCCCTCCCCTGCTACTCAGGCACCCCAGGCAGATGCAGGGGGCTGGCTGGCCAGGGCCCCCCATCCTGTGGGATCTAAGAGGCCATTACAAAGGCAGGTTCCCAGGTGGACCCGTTCCTGGGAAGCAAGGATGGCTTGAGTAGGGGTCGCAGCAGTTAGTCGCCAGTGCCAAGCAGCCAGTGAGCAGCCACCACAGGCGGGCTCTGTCAACACAGCCTCTGCAGGTTCCAACTGGGCGGAGATGAAGCCAGGCACTGGTGTGGCAAGAGCATCAAGGCATGCTTCCTGAGAGGCACGGCCACATCCCTGGGAGCCAGGGTCAATGGGGAGCATCGGATGCCAGGAGAGCACAGGATCTTCAGAAAGATGCTCTCCCACTCAGGTGGCAGGACTCTGCCAGGGGCTGGTGCTTAGATGGGAGTGAGCATTGCCTGTGAGCAGCTGTGAGCTGAGCCCCACGGAGGTGTCGCAGAGGCTCCAGTCTCCCTCCTGCCCCAAGTCCAGGCCCACTCTTGGGGGTGTGTGAGGCTGAGGGTACATTCTCCTAAAGCTGCTCCAGCTCATCCCAGGCAGCCTCGGGTTGCCCGTCTCCTAAGTGACCCAACATCTGCGCCCCCTTTGCCAGCAGCACTCTGCCACGTCCTTGTCCTCTGGCCTTTGCAAGCTTCCCTGGCTCTGTTTGCTCAGAGGCCCTGCCCTACCCAGTGTCTGCTGGAGGCCTGGCTGAGAGGGTCCAGCCTGTGCCCAGTCACTGGGGCCACGACCAAGAAAGGCTGAGATGAAACCCAGGATGCCAGAAGGCAGGTGTGAGCCCTATGTGCTCCTAACCGGGAGCAAGGATCTGTCCAGCCAAGCAGGGGCAGGGTTGGGCTGACAGGATGGGGACCCAGGCCAGGAACTAACTTCACAGGAAAAGCCCTGGGTGGACAGGAAGATTCCAGAGCATACTGTGGCTGATAAGGGCAACAGGCAGCAGTGTGCAGCTAGGGAGGCTGGGGTGGCCCTGTCCTCTGGGCAGCACCCCCCAGAGCTAGCTGGCAGCAAGCCTCGTACACAAGGTAAGACCACAGAGCCTGGCAGTGGTTTGGAATTCGTTCTTCTCTTTTGTTAAAAGGGGGAAAGGAAGTGGATGCGGGTACCCCCAGGCGCAGGGGGAGGCATGCAGGTGGCCCCAGCAGGCAGGCGCTGGGAGGCGGTGGGAAGAGTCCTGGAGTTTCCCACAATCCTTTTCTCTGCAAGGAACAGCAACGCTGGCTGATGAGCGGGTGGGGCAGGAGGCAGGGCCCTGGGGAGGGGGCGGCGGGCAGAGGGCTGGGGGCTCACTCTAACATGCAAAGTCCAGCTGCCCCGGGAACTAAGTTGCTTCTGAAGAGCGACACATGTAGAAATACACAGACACGGCCACGCGCACACATGCGGAGAGGCTCTGCATTCCTTAGGGTGGGGGTCGAGGCCTGCCGGCCCCCAAGGAGCTCCAAGCCAGGGATCAGTGATGTCTCCGCCAGGATGGTCCTCTGCAGTACCCCTGGGCCAGGTGGGGCAGATTCGTCTTCGAAGGAAGGCCACGTGGTCTCTGAAGTTCTGTCCGCCAGGCACCCAGGCTGCTCTGAACCACTCCATGTGCTGGCCATGACCTTGCGTGTGGGCAGCTGCGTGTTTTGGCACCAGACATGTCCCTGCCTGGCTAGAGTCCGTGCTTTCCCCTCCAGGGCTCCAGGGACCAAGGGGTGCAGACATAAAAGGGGTGAAGGGGGCCCGCGGAGACGTCCTCTCCCCCGCCCCACGGGGTCCTGGGCTCCGGGAGGGGGGAGGGGCCTCCCTTATCTCTCTGCCTCCATGGCAGGGTGGGCCCTGGGTTCCGAGGTGGCCTGTTGGGGGGCCAGGGGTGGCCAGTCTGAAGCCGGAGAAGGGGGTGCCGGAGTCCACAGGGGTGGCTGTGGCTGGTGGTGCTGTGGGCCCCCCGGGGGCGAGGCGGCCGTGGGCCAGCTGGGGGTCGAGAAGCTGCCCGTGGCGGCATGGGGGAAGTGCGGTGGGGGTGACGTGGCTGTCGCAGCCATTGGGCTGCCGCTGCCACCGCTGTGAAAACTCTCGGAGGCCTTGAGACGGGAGAACATGGTGAGAGCGTCAGGGAAGTTGGGGGGTGTGGCAGGGGTGTTGGCAGGAGTGCACATCTGTAGGGGGAAGAGAGGAGAGATGGGGTGAGCACCCTTTCCTGGAGGGGCCCTCACTGCCTCCCAAGGGGAGATGAGTGGCTTCCCCATTCTCAGAAGGCTCTGCGTCCCTTCCCCAGCTGCCCCAGCTGGTCTGTCGCCCAGGGGCTCCCACCCAGGGGCTCCCAGAGAAACCCAGAGATGAACCCACCTGGCCTCACTCTGGGCAGCCCAGTGCCTGGGGCCGTAAGGCTTTCCCAGCCCGCCTCATTCCCCCGGCCACAGCATCCCTGGGGTGCTGCAGTATGAGGGCCTTCAATGACCCAGAGGCCAGTGCCCCACAGGTCTCACGGGGAACTGGCACAGGCAGGATTAAATGCAGGGCCCATGAAGCCACCCATCTCCAAAGAGGTCAAGCCCCCACCTACGCCAGTGCCCTCGCATACGTGGGCCAGGGGCTGCTTATGCATGGAACTAGCTTGGCCTCCTTCCACCCAACCCAGAACTGGGGGCTCTGGGGACACTTACCATCTGGTGGTGGTGGTGGCTGTAGGGGATGTTGGTCTCCTGAAAAAAGGCGCTGAGGGCTGTCTGCAGGAAGAAAAGTGCCTGCTCACCCTCCAGGCCCCTGTCGGCCCTGCCGCGCTGCCCCTGTTCCCCCGCTCCTCTGAGGCTAGCGATGACCCTGGCTGGACCAGTGAGTGGGAGGGGCAAGTCTCGGTGCTGAGGCCCAGTGGCTTGCCTGTCACCTCCAACCCTCACCGCTGTCCAAGGAAGAGCCATGGAACACCATGGGCAGTTTGGGTGCCTGCCCTTCCCCTGCTGCTCGCCACCTGCCTCAGTGCCTAAGACCTTCAGAGCCCCCTCCGAAACATGACCGGCAGTACCTTCACCCCATCCTGGGGTAAAGGCAGCACGACCCCAAGTAGCCCAACCAGAACCCCCACCACCATGCTGTTTCAGCAAATTCTAGCCCGCTGTCACCACCATGACAGGTAGCAAGTCTCTACTCTTCTCTAAGCCTTGGTTTTCTCATCTTTGAAGCTGCGGCATCTTGCAGGAGTCTGAGCCTGGCAGAGGGGAACCCTTGCTGCCCCACCCAGCTCTGCTTCTGGCTGATCAAGGGACCCCTGTTTGGACCTTGCTTTCTCCATCTGTACCACAAAGAGGCTGGACTAAGTGGCTTCCAGGGTCCCCTTTCTTGCAGCAGTGATCTCCTAAGATCACCAGATTCCAGCAGGCAGGGCCTGGCGCCAAGTAGACAAGCCTGGGGTTTAGGCTTACTTGCTCACCCACCCGAGCCTCCCTCGGAACAGCACCCAGGTGGTGGAGCAGAAAGACAGCCCATGGCGGACCGAAGCCACCATGGGTTCACAACAGCTCCCGGCACAGCTCCCCAGCTACCCGCTCTTGGCTTGCACCATGCTAGGCACACGATGCTCCACAGTGGGGCCACATGCCACACTGATCATGGTGTAGGCACCCAGCATGTCTCCCTCCCAGTGGGAGAATGGATTGTCATCGTTCACTGCACAAGCAGGGAAATGAAGGTAGGAAGTGACTTGCTGAGGGTCAGCTGGTGCTCAGGAGACAGAGAAGGGAGTGCTCAGGAACAGCCAGGGCAGGTGGGGGAGGGAGACAGAGTGAGCCCGGAGCCCTTTCCTGTCTGTGTGTCAGTTCGGCAAGCTTCAGAGGTCCTTGGTGACTGGGAGCTGAGGAGCTCCAGAGGGAGGCACTGGAATTTGCTATGTCCTGGCTGGGGCCTGGCAGAGGTGGGGAGGCCTGTCCCAGAGAACTAAGGCTGCTCTTGCAAAAGGGTCGGTAAGGGAGCCCCGCACGTGTGTGAGGGGTCCTCATGGCCCTACCAAGTTCCAGGCCCAAACTTGGAGCTTCAAGCAGCTGAGGTGCCCCCACTGCCATCCCTCAGGCCCATTCCCCCAATGCCATCTTGACTTTCTGGCCCTCCCAGATCTGGCACACCCAGAACTCCAGACTGTTCCCGGGATCTGCCCTCGGTTAGGGGGATAGGGGTAGAGGGGCTATGTTTTTAAAAATCTTTTAAAAATAATCTGGGAAATTTCCTGCAGGAGACATCCTACCTGGGTGTCCCCTAACAGGGGTGGTGTGGGAGCTCAGGCATGGGGGCTGGTCTTTAAGCACTCTCCCAGATCCCAAGACCCTCGGTCAGTGGCGACTGGGTCCCAAAGCCCAGGCTCGCTGTGCAAATCCCAACCGGAACCCCCTCTGCAGGCTGCTGTGTATATTCTCCACTGAGAAACATGTGCCCCGCTAGACACAGGCCCCTCCCCCTGCAGCCTCCTGCCCCCATTAGCACCTGAATTGCAGCGAAAGTGACCCAGAAACACCGCATGGTGGATGCGGGTGGAGCGTGGAGGGGGATGGGGAGGCTACATGAGCCCCTCACTCACCCCCATTCCAAGGCCTGAAGTCCTGTCACCTTCCTCCAACCTCCCTGGCAGCTTCTACTTTACAGATGGCCCAACTGAGACTGGGGTGGAGGGCACAGGGCTCCCACCACGGGGTCACTGGGAACCACCACAGGCTGCTGCCCCTCCTGGGAACAGTTTTGTGCCCTAATCACACACCAAATGCACGGGGTGGGGGGCTGCGCATGTGAGAGTTTTCAGTTAACCCTGATGCTGAAAGAAGTGGCTCAAGTGGCTTGGGTGGCTGCTGGGTGCCAGGCTCTGAGGGCTGGGCTGAGTCCTGCAGGCAGGGACCGCCTCCCACAAGACACCTGCCTGCCCAGCCCCAGGCAGGAAGGGAACCCTGCATGCAGATGTGGGACTGCCATGAATGTGGTTTTGCAAGTTTTGCTACATCCAACCCTTGACACAAACAGGGCTGATGTGAGCTGTGGAGGAGAGGGGGGCAGCAGGGAGAGCTTCCTCTGGGTGGGGCTTCCTCGGGGAACAGGGGGCAGTGAGCTGGTCATCAGAGGCTGACTCACAGCTCCCTTCACAACATACAGATGTGGAAACTGAGGCCAGAAGGACAGAGCAGCTTCCCATCTCCCAGAGTGAACACCACAAACGGTCAGTAGCCCCCAAGACCTCTGGCAGGAGGGAAGTGGGCAAGGAGGGAGGGATGGAGTCATCTGGATGGGATGGCCACTGCCTTCCCAGACTGTCCCAAGCTTGGTACATTCTGATCCCCATCCAGTCCTCAGGAGGCAGAGCCCCAAAGTCCTCTAGCTCCTGGTACCTCCTGCAGGCCCTGGCACAGCTCCCTCATGGAAAAACCAGGTTTCCAGTCCCCAGTTGGGCACGGTGAGGGGCACAGCTCATGGGGCTCTGGCCTCATCCCCAGATACTGCCATGGGGTTAATCCTGGGGTCGGTGAATTAGGGAAGGCCAGGCAGCCTCTGGATAGCAGAAACCAAGAGCACTACTACCCTGTGTGTTAAGGGAGGCCCGGGGGAGTGGGTGCCAGACTGGGGCAGCCTCACCTCCTACCCAGCTGGCCTGAAAGCTAGTGAACATCCTCCCCAGTGCACCGGCAAAGGCACAGATACCCCTGCCAGCCTCTGGAGAGCACCTGGACGCGAGCATGGAGTCCCCAGGCACACCTCTGGAGGGGGTACATGCTCATCCCTATGCTGTAGTGTGGGGCTCCGACTCGCCACCCATACACTCCACACTGTGTACACACATCACACCGTGCCCGGCAGGGGCTGCATCTGCACACCCTCCACATGTGTACGCACTGATCACACACAAACGCACCGGGGGCTGCGCGTTCACACGCGCGCCAGCCAACGTGCCAGCAGGCCCGCCACCTCCCCGGTACCTGACCAACGCCGTGGCGCGGTGCGTGCGTAAACACAAATGCACATGGACGTCTGAGCACGCCGACGGCTGCCCACCAGGCACGCGGACCCTCGGACCACTAGCCGGGAGCGGCTCCGCCCTCAGGCCCAGCTCGGCCGAGGCCTGGGGCGTCCTCCTTCCGGCCGCCAGCCCGACTGTCTGTCCGCACTGAGGCGCAGCCCCGCCCTCGGCCGTTACCCAGACCAAAGGGGTAGCGGGGTCTCCGTCTCGATCCCGGGGGACTCGGGGCCCCGCAGGGGCGACGTATCGTCGACCCGTAGCCCAATTCTGACCTCCGCCCGCCGAGAGCCCTTGGTGCCCGGACGCCGGGCGGCGCCGTCTGGAGAGCGGGTCAGGTCCGCGGCCCGGAGCGGAGCGCACAGCCGGCACGCGTCCACACCGCCCGCCCCCGCCCCGCGGCCACGCGGGACACATCCCGCCCGCGGCCCCGGCCCCGGCGCCGCGCACCTCGAACTGCCAGTGGGCCGCCTGCAGCAGCTGTTTCGCCTGGTCGGCCGCGCAGCCCGCCGTCAGCACGAACTGGTTGATCATGACCTGGTGCTTGAGCTCGTCCATGTTCACGGACATGGCGCCGCCGCGCTGCCCGCTCCGGCCTCCCTCCGCCGCCCGCGCCTCCGCCTCACGCGTCCACCATTAGCGAGCCGGCTCCGGCTAATACAAATATTTACTGTGCGGCTCTGACTCACCGCGCCTCGCCTCGCTCCGCCGGCGCGGCGGCATGCTGGGAGATGTAGTCCCCGCGCCGCTCCAGGCGCCCCGGCGGAGCGTGGCCGGCGCCCCCAGGGGACGCGAAGCCGGGGAAGGGGCGTGTCTAAGCGCCGAGCGCTGGCTGTGCGGATGCCCACGCCGTGACCCGAGCTAGGTGTGTCCACGTCGCCCTCGTTGCTCTCAGTGGCACCAGCGCCCCTGCTCTAGCACAGATGGGGCTCCCCAGGCGGGGGGCACGTGTGTGCATGGGCGCCAACGCCCGACCACAGGGTATTGGCCAAGTCCTGGGGACCATGTCTGAACGCTGAGTGCCTACTGTGTGCATATGCCTGGGCCGTGACCAGGGCCGGGGTGTCCACGTCGCCCTTGTTGCTCTGGGTGGCACCTGCGCTCCTGTTCTGGCACCGATGGATGTCCGCAGGCGGCGGCCTCACATCTGTGCATAGGCGTCTTTGCCAAGGCCCAGGAACAGTGTCTGAATGCTGAGCGCCTACTGTGTGCAAGAAGCACCTGGGCCGGGACCAGAGGCAGTTACGTCCACGTCGCCCTCGTTGCTCTTGGTAGCATTCACGACCCTGCTTTGGCCGGAATTAGGAGCCCAGAGGCCGGGGCCACAGATATGTGCATCGGCACAAACCGCCAGGCCATCTTTGACGTCTTTGCCAAGCCCCGGGGATTGTGACTGAACGCTGAGCGCCTACTGTCTGCAGATGTCCAGGCCATGGCCAGAGCCAGGCATGTCCATGTTGCCCTCGTTGCTCTCGGTGGCATCCGTTCCCCTGCTCTGGCACAAATTGGGGTCCCAAGGTGGGGGACACAGATCTGTGCATGGGCGCAAACACTGAGCCACAGGCGTCTTTACCAAGACCCAGGGACCCTGAACCCCTCTGTAACTGGCATCGCACTGTGTTAAGTAGTAGGCACATCCTTAAGAGAGGAGGCTCTAGGAATTTTGGCCCGAATCTTTGGTCTAGGCTGCAAAGTCCCGAAAGGACTGGCACACTGTAGGCGCCAACAAATACTCGTTCAGTGAACGAATGAATGAGTGAGTTAATCCGCCCTTCAAAGCTCCGCTGCAAGTCATCGCCTCCAGGCAGCCTCCTGGGTCTCCCCACTCAATCTCGCAACGCCCACTCGTGGCTCAGGTCCTTCCCAGCCTGGCGCTGGGCCTGCCCCACAGTAGCCCGATGTGGACGGCGCCTGGGACAGGCTGACGGGGCCGGCGGCCTCTGGCGCTTCGGGGTCCCCTCACCCAGCAGTTCCCCCACGGTCCCACGGTTCTTGCTCTTTGCCGGAAATCTCGGCCCTCAGCTGGCGGGCGCCAGGGCCCCGCGGAGCCAGTTCCGGAGCGGCTTCAAACTCCCATTCCCAGAATGCCCCGGTTTATTTGCATCGTTTGGTCCCGGTGACGTCAGGTGAGTGAGGTCGTGTCTTGACCAATAGACAGCTTCGAGGTGTTAGGACCTGGCCATATAAGGTAAACAAAGCTGGTTGCCCAATCAGGAGGCGGCTGGGGCGGGTCCTGGGCCAGGGAGGCCGGGGGCGGGACCGGGGGCGGGGCGGCCGGGCCGTGTTTACAAGACCCGCACATGGCACTTCCGGTTGACGTCGCTGGAGGCTGGTGAGGCCTTAGCCGGTTCAGAGTGGCCGGGGTCGCTGAAGTGCGGTCACAGCCGCTCTCGGTGACCTTGGTCCGGTTCCTTGCGCACCGTGGCCCCACTCAACTTCGTTGAGTCACTGTTTGTTGTGTCCTTTCTCTGCTCCTGGCCCGGGGCGACAGGAGAGCAATAGCCTGGTGGGAGGCTGTGAGGACTGTTAGGGAGGATGAGTGTAGCCTAGCAAGATGGAAAATGCCCTCCGGGGTTGGCGCGGTGGCTTGTAATCCCAACAACTACGAGGCCGAGGAAGGAGGATTTCCCAGGCCCAGGAGTTTGAGAACATGCCTCTACAGAGATACAAATTTTAAGAAAATGAACCGGTTTCAGGCTTGGCACGGTGACTCACGTCTGTAATCCCAGCGCTTTGGGAGGCCAAGGCTGGTGGATCACCAGGTTAGGAGTTGGAGACCAGTCTGACCATGGTGAAAACCTGTCTCTACTAAAAATACAAAAATTAGCTGATCGTGGTGGCACGCGTCTGTAATCCCAGCTACTCGGGAGGTTAAGACAGGAGAATCGCTTGAACCCGGGAGGCAGAGTTCGCGCCACTGCGCTCCGTCCGACCTGGGCGACAGAGTGAGACTCCGTCTCAAAAACAAAAAGGCACACCTGTAATCCTAGCACTTTGGGAGGCGGAGCGGGGAGGATCACTAGGTCAGGAGTTCAAGACCAGACTGGCCAACATGGTGAAACCCCATCTCTACTAAAAAATACAGAAATTAGCTGGGCGTGGTGACTCGTGCCTGTAATCCCAACTACTTAGGAGGCTGAGGTATGAGAACTGCTTGAACCGGGACCCGGGAGGCGGAGGTTGGAGTGAGCCAAGATCGCGCCACTGCACTCCAGCCTGGACTACAGAATGAGACTCCATCTCAAAAAAAACTAGCCGGGTTCCACGGCTCACACCTGTAATCTCAACACTTTTGGAGGCCGAGACAGGCGGATCTTGAGTCCAGGAGTTTGCAAACAGCCTGGGCAAAATAGTGAGACCCTTGTCTCTACAAAAATAAAAATAGGGGCTGGGCATGGTGGCTCACGCCTGTAATCCAAGCACTTTGGAGGCCAAGGCGGGCAGATCACCTGAGGTTAGGAGTTCAAGACCACCAGCCTGACCAACATGGTGAAACCCTGTCTCTAAAAAAAAATAAAATAAAATAAAAAATAAAAATTAAAAAAATTGGCAGGGGCACAGTGGCTCACGCCTATAATCCTAGCATTTTGGGAAGCCGAGACAGGTAGATCACTTGAGGTCAGAAGTTCAAGACCAGCCTGGAAAACATGGTGAAACCCTGTCTCTACTAAAAATACCAGATTAGCCGGGTGTGGTGGCACATGCCTGTAGTCCCAGCTACTTGGGAGGCTGAGGCAGAGGTTTCAGTGAGCTGTGATCGCGCCACTGCACTCCAGCCTGGCGACAGAGGAGACTCTATTAAAAAAAAAAAAAAAAAAAAAAAAATCACTACAGCCTATTAAAGTAGAAGGATCCCTTGAGCCCTAGAGGTTCAGGCTGCAGTGAGCCATGATTGTGACTGGGTGACAGAGTAAGATCCTGTCTGCAAAAAATAAGAAATTCCCTAGGGAGGTGGGCACTGGCCTTGGGAGTGAGTTAAGGGCCACCGAAGTGTTTAAATAGATCTGATCCCTTGTACGCTTAGGGATCACTGTGGCTGTAGCAATGCCAGGGTCAGATGGTGCTGGAGAGCTCCAGTCTGAACTAGGCGATGTTCTTGATGTGTCTGGTTCCAGGGGAGTCTGCCCTGCCCGCAGAATTGTTTGGAATGGAGGGACTTGCCTCAAGCTGCAGCTCCTACCTCGTCCCTTCAAGCCTGCCAAGGACTCTCCCATTGTGGGTGGTGGGAGGAGAACAGTGGGGGAACTAGTGGACTGGACCTGAAATATCCTGGGGTGGGAGGGTAGGGTGGTGGAGGAAGCTGGGGCACCAAGATAGCTGAGAGGGTGGGGAAGAGAAAGGAGTCAGGGTGCAGTGGGCTTGGCCTCTGAGGGCTGGGGGTGGGAGCCTGGCCTATGGCCATGGGGCGGACCTGAGTGTTCTCTTTTCCCAGGCAGGCACTTGGTCTTGACAGAAGCCACCTGACCTGGGGAAATACAGCTGAAGCTTCTTTCCTGCTGCTTGGGGATCACTCAGGGGCCATAGTATTTTGCAAGCCCTGATGGTTTTAAGAGATGTTTGCTGGCCGGGCGCGGTGGCTCAAGCCTGTAATCCCAGCACTTTGGGAGGCCGAGGCGGGTGGATCACGAGGTCGAGAGATCAAGACCATCCTGGTCAACATGGTGAAACCCCGTCTCTACTAAAAATACAAAAAATTAGCTGGGCATGGTGGCGCGTGCCTGTAATCCCAGCTACTCAGGAGGCTGAGGCAGGAGAATTGCCTGAACCCAGGAGGCGGAGGTTGCGGTGAGCGGAGATCGCGCCATTGCACTCCAGCCTGGGCAACAAGAGCGAAACTCCGTCTCAAAAAAAAAAAAAAAAAAAAAAAGAGATGTTTGCTGATGCTAAGAGTTGCCCCTTAACCTTTGCAAAGTTCATCTGCATGAATTAATGTGGGCAAAGTGCTCTATAGGGTAGGCGGGCAATAAAAAACTAGCTCTGAATAGGATTACCGCTATAATGATTACCACTGGGGCTGCAACACAGCATGGGAGAAGGCGGGCAGGTTCAGGAGCCAGACAGACCTGGGTGTCAGGCTTGACTCTGCTGCTTAATGATGATGCTTAATGACTTAATGGTTAATCTTGAGCAAGTTACCGGAGCTCTGGGCTTCACTTTCTCACTGGTGGGGCTGAGTTCTGGCAGCACTGCTGTGGAAGATGAATGCCTGTCAGGGGCGTAGTGCAGTGTCTGGTGCTTGGTGCACGGTTTTAGCACTCAACTCTGCCTCCATCTGGACCACGCTGGGAAGGCCCAGCCCTATTTTACAAGTAAAACTGAGGCTGGAATCTGGCCTTAGCCTCTGACATTCAGAACCTGTAGAGAAGAGCAGGCACCCAAGGTGACTTTCTGGCAAGGGAGGAGGGACACTGTCTTGGCAGGGCCCACTGGGGCTTGTCTTGTACAGGGAGTTAGGAAGTACCTGTGCCCCTCCTTCCACCCTCGTCCAGGTACTACTCAGCTGCGTGCCCAGGCTTGCCCAGCCCAGGAGGAGCTCTCTCAGCCCAGCAGACTGGCAAGAGTGGGCAGGTGGGGCTGGCAGAATCAAAGGTCACCCTACTGGTCTCCATGTAACCCCCTCACCCCCATCCTCTAAACCAGCTTGTTTTTCCGGGGCAACAGGGAATTAAAAAACAGGCGTATTTTCAGCCAAGAGGAGCCTGACTGGAGAGTGAACTTTGGATTCCTTAGTGGGCTGGGATGGACCGTGACAGCCGGGGCCAGCATCTAGCGGGAGGGAGAGGAGAAGGCACTT